TGATGTTTCGCACTGAGCGCAATATTTGGTGGCTACGATACTGCTAACCAGCTTAGGGCAATAATCTGAAAAGTTAATTTTCCTAAATATTTGTAAGCCTACTGCGAAACAAAGTGACAAAGTATTTTGGTGTGGTTTAATATTTAAATATTTTACATGCACTATAAGTATAAACAAAATAATGAAAGTAGGAGATAATAGTGACCTTCAAAATAACAGAAGGAAACATAAAAATAAAGGAACACACACCAAATACTTTATCTATAATTAATAACTATCACAGTTCACAAAAATACAATGATCACCAAGATAAAAGAGGATCACAGAAACTGGACACTCTAAGTTGGGAGTAAAAGGTATACCCACCTACTTTAATTAATATCTCGTGATTCCTCAGAATCAAAAGCTTTTTTAGTGTAGATCACATACGCCAGGCTCAAAGTACAATCTATATTTAATTTTCTACAAGAGATCACCCTCGGAGTTTAAGATGTAGCAATTTTTACTGAAATATTGTGAGTGATGACAAATAAAACAGACTTCATTTTTAAACTAAATACATTCACTGTTTTGCTCAAAATCTAAAATAGTTACTATTAATGGAGAACAATTTTTGAGTACACTTTGTGACTAGTAGGTAATATAGGCAGTGGCATACATACATGTGAGAGGGGGAGGTAAAGCATCACCCCTGAGATGTACTGCTTCATGAAAATTTTTCTACAAAATGCCCTTCTCCTATCGTTAAGTACCTAGGTATGTAATTTCGAGAAAATTATTATGAGCACAACGCCTGCCTGGTTAATAACAATTATGTTACTGTTGTTCAGTACCTATTTATATCTCTCAGGGAAGTAAATGTATTTTACTTTTACGGAACTTAATATAGTCTTAAATATTTATGATATTGACGCAGTTGAATACTACTCACGCAGTTATAGGTTCGACTCATAGCAAAGTGCAAAACATTGTGTGGTTCTACGCTATCACCAATTTCCGGTGCTATCATCCGGTTTCCAACTAGGTCCCACTCCACTGGGTATAAAGACCGCACATGTCTCCTCTTGGAGAAGGGTGGTAGTACCATGCATATAGTGATATATAGATGACATGATCTCTCTACTACCCACTTGTGATAAGTATTTACAAAGACCTTGTGGTAGTTTCAAATTTTCAATGAACAAATACAGAAAATAATTAAAATATTTATATATTATTAGATTATAGTACGATTCGCATCAAATGCAACTCGATCATAGCGCGCCAGGAGGCGGTTTTCGTCAGGGTTACTCATAATAGGGCATAAATAATGCAGGCAATTTTAAAAAGCGCCAGTTTATTATTTATCGGCCTAATTTATGAAACACTGGTTTTAATGAAATCGAACATCCTGAGCGCTATGATCGTGTTACACTTGATGTAAAACCTTAGAATTCCTAGAATTTATTAAAATTTAATTTAATCTATGAAGTGGTGAAACCTACTATAATCATCATTTTTAGTCCAACTATTTTATGATAGATAGGTACCATTTTTGATTTGCAGACATTAAAGGTTTAGTATATCATAATTCATAAGTAAACAAAACAACAACAAATGAGTAACAGTTAAACTATATTATAATAAATAATCATTGATATTCTATGTTGACATTTATATTATATTTATAATCAATGATATAATGTATTAGTGTTCAGCAAAAAATCTACATGTAACCAATGATGAAAATTTATAAAGATGACATCTAAAACTTTTAAAAGTGATGAGTGAAAATTTCAATAAATATCTAGCAAATAACAACAATATTTAGTAGAATGCTAGATTGCTAGCCTCATTTATAATAATTGTAATATGTATACCAAGTAAAAATTGTACTGTACTGACCTATTAGAATAGGAATTAAATTTAAATTAATCATAGAGTATTTCAACTCAACACTAGTAAGTGGTAGGTAATAGTGTTTCAAATACATATTAATTAGTAACTAGATTATAATAATAGGTAATAGGTATAGGTATATTATTATTTTTTTTTTTAATACTGATTAGACCTTAAAACATACAATTGACAATTAAATTAAGACACACAACCTACATCAAAGCCATTAAATATTAATTTGGCTAGCTACAATACAATTAAATAAAATTAATTAATTAAATTTAAAAGTAATTAATCATAAATCTTATGCAATAGCCAGTATATAGGTACCTAAATAATTTTAACAAAGCAATTAGTAACAGAATAATTAAATATTCAAATAACTTAATTTAAGTACATCATGTATTGTTATAAACTTATAACATAAACCATAACTAACTAAACATTATAGATTATTTTGTAAGATTTAATTTATAATAAATAATTATTAATTGACATCAATTAATATTTTATAATTAAATGTATAATTTTATATAATAACATTGGTCCATTATGTGCGACCTACGAGGTAGTTAATTGTTCGGTACCTAAATTACAATATTGCTATTAGATACCTAGGTAGGAATTACCAATAACACGTATATAATGTAATAGGTATAGAAAAATAGTTGAGCCAGTATTTATTTTTAATCTCTTTGGATATATTTTATATTGTATTTATATTTATATAATCTGCATTGTTTAATAACAAAATATGAACAAACCAAAACACAAATTTCGTCGCCCAAATAATCGAAAATAAAAAAACATCTGTTGAGAAATATTAAAAAATAAAAATAGTAATATTGTATATCCTTTACAACCAAGACTATAGGTACTTTAAGAAAAATATAGGTGATCCCTTGAACACACAATAATTGACAGCTTTTGACAATTATTCATGAAGCAATATACTACCACGATTTAAAATATACGCAGGTCACTCAACGAAACTTATTTTTTGGTGAGCGAAAAGTTAACGATATTTTCGTAGCAATAATTACAGGTAGCGCTTTTGCATTGTAGTGATTTCTCTTGGTACTATAAAATATATCAATAGAGACATACAGGGCCGGATTTACGTATAGGCCCGAGCCTCATTAGGGTGGCAAATTTTTGGGGGCGGAAAATTTTGTAAGAAATTGAAAAAAAATGTATTATTGTTTATTAGAATTTATAATTACCAACTTGTTTTGTTTATAATTACTACTGGCCTAATTCGTTTATAACGAAATTAATGTATTAGTAGTAAACACTACTTTTTGCTTTTCTTGGAGTATGGGCGGCATATTTAAAAGAGCCTAGGGTGGCACCTGTTCTAAATCCGGCACTGTAGATAATAATATACAATATTACGTTGTTATTTTATATTAACCACTCTTGGAGCGTTAGTAATTTTTCTCATATCGTGCATCGGCTGTTTGAAAACAAACACTTTTGTTGTTTAAAGATATATTTATAGGTCTATGGTATGTGCATATAGGGTCGTAGAGGTCGAGTAACCTGGATAATATCTTAAATCGTGCATACTACCGTTGATTACAAATAAGCTATAGATTGCTCACTGGTGAGTATTTACATTTTATTTATAAATAACTTAAATGGGCGACGACAGCACTTCATATCGGCCACTTTTCGCGCAACGTAAATAAGCGCCAGCGAGCGATCTATAGTACCTATTTATAATCAATGATGGGTACTATACCTACATAAATGTGTATGACTTCATAGTTAGTATAGGTATTTGATATCTTCTTCTCGGAAGGATTCTTATGACAAAACAGTGTGTATACAAGTTAAATTATAGGTATCGTATAGGTCAACAGTTGTATAGCTTTCTTATTAAACCGACAATTTATCAATAAGTTGCACATAATATTGGACAGGTTCCTCCATATATATACCTATATATATATATATATATATATATATATATATATTTAGTATTGGTTATACAACATGAAAAAGAAATACCTTATACTTATTTCCTCACTTAACTATTAAATTAATATATTAATATAATATAATATTCTTATATTATGATTTATCATCAACTGAGGACTGAGGTACCTACTTGAATATTTAATAAATATTATATAGGTACCTACTTAACTTATAAAATAAAATTTACATCAATGTAACGTTAATATTTAAAAAATTATAATACTTTAACAAATGTAAACTAATTTGTACTTATAGTAACAATTTATAAAATGTAGGAAAACACAAAATATTTTAATGATACAAACACAGATATTGTTGACAGTGTAATTAATAGTTTTTTTTGAGCAATAATATCAAAAAAAACATAAAATATTGGGTAACTCCGGACTTACTGGTAAAATTCGGACAAACCCGTTTATAATAATTTATATTGGATCTTTTTGATAAGTTAATATTGATAAATTGAGAAGATTGTTACAAAATATTATAGGTAGGTATTTCCAACGAAAAAACTACATTGGTCGATATTAACTTCCTAAAAATTACATGTATAATAGGTATCATCGAGGTAAATTATATATATTCGAAACTGTATTCTTATATTTCAAAACTGTTAAAACTTCTGAATAAAAATTATGTCCGTAGTAACCCTATTTTACGGTACACCGACATGATTATTGTATAGCCGTATTATAGGTACTTGGTACTTGTATAAAAATGGTAAGTACTTATAATGGTTATAAAAATTAATTAACATATATTGTATAATATAATATTTTAATTTGTTGTTAATTGAGATAATACTTTTCTGTCCAAAAACAATTAACATAAATTTAATAACTATTATAGACAAAAATGTATTTTAATTTGAACATTTGATATTATTTTTAGTAGGTATTAAAAACTTAGATCAACAAAAATTTTAATTTCAAGTATACACTTAATTATCTTACATACCTATGTATTTATGAGTTACCTATAGCTAAATTTATAAAATAATATATTGTATTATTGTAATTTAAAACTTATTGTGTAATTTGTGTAATAGTATCACATCAAAAAAATCATTTATTATGAATAACAATTATATTATTTAAACTTAAATCTTAATATAATACTGGCAGGTAATATGTTTGAAATTAAGCAGGATAATGCAAAATATTAAAAGTATACAAACTTGGATAACGATAACTATACTGATCTTTTGGAAAAATGATTATATCATCAATGAACATGAACATTAAGTGCCTAAAAATGTACAGAAAAAATATATTAATAATAATATACATGTTTGCATAATATACATAAATGCAAGTAAAAATATGCATTATACCATTGTCCATTGAGGCAGTCTATATAAATATTTATAATTTTATCGAATGGTTAAGGATTAACACTACCCCTGCGTCCTTATCTACATGCAATAGGTACATAATCTTTCATAATATTCTAATTATAAAATGTAACTTGCATAAAGTTTATTTTTGATCATACTAAGTCAATTTACTACTATTATTAACCCTTAAATGTTGACTAACTGAAAAAAATCTCAGTCAAACTTCAATAGAGAATTTTCTGTGTAATTTAAGGCCAGTGAATTTGGACTGCCAAGATTTGAGATAAGAGTTATATCTTACATGACACATCATTAAAAATATGCTTGTTTTTCCTGAATGATTTTGGGTATTCCTGAAGATTTATAGGTACTACTTACCTAGGACTCTATATTTTATAACTGAATATTAATTATTATTAGACACAACGTGTATTTAATGCTTATACATATTAATTTAAAAAACTTCATTATAACACAGATGTGTTTCAGAGTTAATATATTTTTTAGAAGAACTAATTTATATCAATATAAATTGATTATTTTAACATTTAATTTATAATTATTAAATAAACACTAATCATCCAAATAATACACTAAATGCATACAAAGCATATTTTAGTATATTCTAAATAAATTATATAACTTACCTTTTCTCAATTATTTCTCGGTACTTAGTTTCTTCGTTATATAGGTCCCGAAAATTGTCATTGGATACCACAACTCCACCACATGTAAAAGCATGATCAAGAATAATTCTAAGAAAAAATAATAGGTAGTAAGATATATTTTTTAAAATAAAAATTCATGATTAAGACTTCTAATAACTTTTGAAAATAACTTTTTTGACAAATACCTAAATATTTTAAGATCGTATTAAGTATAGATACTTCTACTATAAAATAACAATTAATGAAGCTAAAATATTATACATTAGAAAAAAACGTAAATATATTTTAGTCTTTATACCTACTGTATAGAAATAAATTATTAAATTAGTTTCATAATAAATAATAATATTTTATGTTAGTGTTTATACCTATTTTGTGATGCAAGAAAGATATGGACCAGATAAATTTTTTAACCACCTAAACTGGATTTCCACAGGTGACTGCATATAGTACATTAAAACTATAACTACTATTACCATAGGGCATAGACCTATAAACTAATGGGCAGCTCTTAGAGAGAGAAGTCAAGGGTACAATATAGAGTGAGCGAGAATGAAACAAAGTAGTAAAATGTATACAGTTCCTTATGTGGGCTCTTTCACTACTTTATGTTCTTTCTCTCTAATTTATATGGTTATATGATCGCCTAGTATTGTGGGTAGGGCAGAGTGGAATGGGCTGTCCATTAGTTTATAGGTCTATGACTATTGCAAAGGCATATTCATGGTGATTGATCAGGGGATCCAAAGGGGGGAGGTTATATAATATAAGTGAGAGGGGCACTACACTGCAATTCATCTTAGAAATAATTGGGCAAGTTATATCAATAATATGTATAGTTACTGTCTATATGTAAAATATTCATAACATGAGGCCAGAGCTCATTCAAAAAGTAAGTACCTACCTATTAAAATTGTTCTAAATTAGTCTTTTTGGTTTAATAGATTGTTATTAGGGTATATACTAGATAGAATTGTCATATTTTCTTCATGGTATGAAATAACTAAATAACTAATTACATTAAACGGTAAAACCTAAAATAGGTAATTAGATAGGTATATAATAGAAAAAAATTTAAGATTACCGATCGCTATAGCACGACAGTCGAGTGTTTTTGATTTGCCTGCTGGGTGTAAAATACATATGACCCATGTTCCACAACATTTTTATTATTGAATGCGTTTCAGTTCCAGGCTTCCCTCTGCGATGTTGGGGTATTATAACCTTCACAGATTTAAATCCTTTTTGAACAAAATACTGCACACATATAAGCATGCCTTTAGCAGAAAATTCCTTATGGCATCCATGACTAAATAAATAAACAAAAAAACTATTATTTATTTACATTTTAAGTTTTTAATGTTATTACAAAGTCTTATTCTTAGTTTAATATGTGTAGATAGGTACTTTGTGTAGGGGCTATTAAATATTTTAATATTTATAATAGATTTATATTAATGAGACATATATTTATTATTGATAAAATTATTTTTTTATATTTACAAAAAACTTGAAAATTTTATTAAGGGTTTTTGTTTATGTTTATTATAATTAATTTTACAGTTACAAATAAAATATTAGAGGAAGGTATTGCTTTAAGTGTGTAAGGTACATTAGTAAGTACCTACTACCTATCACTGATTCATCTGACAATTATATTCTGTTCAATGCACACCCATAACTCATAAGTATGTTGGCCTATTGGCTATTTGGTTACCTAAATACCTACCTATTTGTAGACTTGTAGTATTTGAATCAAAATATAAGTTTAATTTTCTCTTAGTGGGTATTTAAATTTATTATTATAGAAACAAAATAATTGTAATCACTTCTATCGTTAAGTCTTGATATTATTATAATTGTACCTAACATTATTGTAAAAGAGCTGCATGAAAAATAAAACTTACCTATAACCAATATTTAGGCCATCAATAATAATTGGTCTCTGTCTTGGAAGGTCCATTGGAGTTGTAATTGGTGAAGTCATTTTTTGCGAATAATTAGCAGGTTCTGTAAAATCAAAATTTATACTTAAAAAATAATTGTAAATAATTAAGTTAAATTTTAACTAGGTGTAATAACTACGTAATATATAATATATTAAAATCTAAACTATATAGGATATAGATAATAATAGAAAATAGTGGAATTGTGTATAATTTTATATGATTTTAAATTTTCAAACTTCTTAAGTGTACCTACCTAAACAATATATTATTATTTGTTTGTGTTCCTAAATCAACATAATTAGTAATTACTACGGTTCGGGACTTGTTGCACTAAAAATTATCGTAATATGCGTGGAAATGTGCGATCAAAATTATCATAATTTGCTTAAATATATGCAGCTAAATTTTATATTATTTTTGAAAAATACATAAAACATATTACAATTTTGGAAATTAAAAACTTAAAAATAAGTACAAAATAAATAAATACCTAAACATAGTAAAAATAATTGATACACATGTTTACTAATTCGAACATATATTGATTAGTCATTAATATGATGAACAGTAGACCCTATTGTATGTTTTGTGCATTTTAACCTATCGTGAAAACACCGAGATAAACAAACACGAATCTACTCATTTTTAAATTTCTTAAAAATGCAAAATATAGGTACACTTTTCCTAAAGTATAACAAAATAAACAAAATTATGCAAATTTGAACTTTGTATTTTATTTTGCCATTTTATAAAACACATTTATAACTTACCTAGAAAAATCTACTACCACTACAAAAAAAAAACATGCGATTGCAAGAAGTCTAAAACCCTAGTAATTACCTTGGTGGATATAATTCACCGTTGATTGTGAAAGCTGATTATGCTGTAGAGGTTGACCAGCAGATTGAACAAATTGATTAGACTGTTGATGAACTATGTTATTATTAGGTTCAACACCAAATGCAATGTATTCATTAGGAATTTCTGAATAGTTATTGACTTGACGAACAATTTGAGCATTTTTTTGTACTGTTCCATAATTATTATTGGTCATCTTAAAACTAGTAAAAGGATCCAAGGTAAGATCTAAAAATTTATTTTGATTTGGTTCTCGGTCGATAGTAGAGTTTAAATTTTATTTTTATATGATAAAGTTCGTATTTGTAGATGTATTTTTCTGAATTGTATTAAAAATTAACCTTAGACCACTAATTTTTCTTCGTATTTCTTGGTGACTGATTCTTATACTTCAACACTCTTCATAATATGATGAACCTACAAAAATACTTAATTAATTAGTATAATATAATTATGAAGGACTATAGTCGTAATATATCTACAATGTAATGAACAATATACTAATTGATAAGAAATATGAATTTGAATTAAATTCCTAGGCACATTTATTAATCACTAAAAAAGTAAAGCATTCTACAAATACAACTAATAACTAAACAATGTGTAGATCTTAAGTGTACAATAATTTTAAATGGAAATATTTTTATTTAAGTATATAGTTTATATTACTATAATTTTATTTATGTAAACCAATGAAGTACACAATTAACTAAAACACTAAAAAGGCATAACACATCAATAATTCTACATCTATTTTTGTGTTTTATAATGTATAAAAATATACGCCCAAATTATCATAATGTTTTTGTATAAACAAGCACTAGAAAACTATAGAAAAGTTTAATACATTAATTCCTAATTTTAACCAATAAATAAAGCTTTCCAAAATTTTACATCACGTAAATTTTTCAAAATCTATTTTAACATTGGATTATAATAGGATATATCCTTCTGTTGTAGCTATAACTTATAGGGTAGGTAACTTTATTTCTGTCTTGCTAACTTTTTAAGGCAACATTTAAGTATCAACTAATGCTTTTTAAATGGTGGCTCTCTACTCGCTAGTCTCTTATCTATTTATTATATTCAATTTTTAACTCTAGTAAATATTTTGAAAAATGTTACCTATTGATTTTGAATTAGGTAAATAATAATTATTAAATTTAAATTATTAATACAGCTACTAACGTATAAAATGATAATTAACAGTCAATTGTTGAATATAAATTAATAATATAATATACGTAGGTACTGTAACTTTTCTCATAATATATAGTGTAGGTAGGTATATGGCGATATGTGCTAATACATTATCTATACTTGGATAATAGAGCACTAGAGATAGGTATTTGTAGAAACTTAATCACGTGTCTTATTAGTTATTACCCACGAATTAAGATATACAGGATGCCGAACGACAAACCCGTTATCAGTATTTTTGCGAAGTCGAAAGTTTCCAGGTTCACAAATTAACTTATGGCGCCGAAATGATTACGGTGGCGAAATCCTTAACTAATTTTGTACGATTACGACTATCGAGTATCGTCATAAACATGGCGGGAAATTAACATGATGATAATTTTTACGATAAAGATACGTAAAATTATAAATCTTGGTAGATGGTAGCACTGTCTTAGTTCATTAAACGCCACTGTGGCAAAAAGCGCTATAAGACATTTTGGATTTTTGGAAACTTCTGTCTTCACCTGATAAGCTCTCGTTTGGCATCCAGTATATTATCTTAATTTGTGGTTATTAACTAAAAAGTACAAATAGTATATTTTCGCCAAGATCATATTTTAATATTATTCTTTGAAAATTATAATGACTTAAGATATATACTAGTTACTTACTTCAATGAGTTCAAATTATTTATAAAATAACCTGGTCAGGTATAATTTAGTATAAATAAAATATATATAAATAAGTATTTTCAAAAATAGTTGAAAAATAGTTTTTCAAAGCGCTTATGATGACACTACTACTTGAAAATGTTTTCTTTTGACTTCCCAAAGTACCAACTAGATTCACTTTCCTATCAGAAAAGATACTATTGAAGAAAATCTAAGCATTTTTACTGTCCTAAAAGGTGATGAGACACAAAAAAAAATTTTTAAATTTAAAAAAAAAACACACATCATTGTAAAACAACATTAATCGTTTCACTCAGAATCTAAAATTGAAAACAATTAATGCAAATTTATTCCCATTATTATTACGTATCTCAAGCGACACAGTCGAAGGGTAGTTGACATTTATTCTATAACATTGCCCTAGTCGCTGGTGTCGACTACTCGTCCACAAATCGTCCGCCGCAGTGAAGTAGGCCGTATCTCTGTTTTCATAATTTTTTTTTTTTCAAGTTGTCATAACTTTTTTTGTGTAGTTCCCGCGAAACTAATAGTAGCATAGAACAAACAAGACTTTCTATACAATAGAATGCAGTCTTCTAGGGAACTACACAAAAATAGTTATGACACTTGAAAAAAAAAAAGATGTGTGAAAACAGAGATACGACGACCTTCTTCGCTGCGGTGGGCGAAATATAGTGTTCAAGTGTTCACTTTGACGGTTCCTAATTTTGATTGACATTTGGTGATGAGATAACGTTTTGAAAAATATATTATAGGCGATCAGGTACTGATTAAAGAATCTAATTGTATAATTGGTTTTTATTTTTTGTTTATTTTTAGTGTGTGTATTTATTTTTTACCCGAAATGACGATGTCTTCGAACGTCGATAACATTAACATACCATATATATTATACACTCTATCAGTGGCGTATATAGGGGGAGGCCCCCTAGGCCAGAGCCCATAGTGAAATTTCAGGTTCAATTAAACCATTTCATGTATATCTACACTGTTTACAGTTTTTCACCATGATTAATTAGCCGGTTGATTAAAGTCGTTTTGAGGAATCAACAAGGAAATGTTAGATTGCCAGGACTTGCTTTGATGACTTTCATGTGTTAAATTCACAATACGATAACATTAAAATATATAATATTATGTATGTATGAAATTGTAAATTTTTTTTAAAAAAGAATTAAAAATGAAATTTACATTATAATCATAAAGTTTAATTGCGCAATTTGTATTTGTATTTATAACCACCCAGCTCCTCAAAAAATGTATAGTTATGGCTATGTTATAGTCGCGCTAGCTGACTAGTGATAAATTGGCCCATAGTGAAAATAATTTGTATATACGCCACTGCATTCTATTATTGTTGATACGTCTGGATATAACTAATTTAAGAACATTAATAACCTATTAACGTAACATAGCTTCGGATGTATACAATATACAGCGTGTTCCTTCATTATACAGAAAGATTGAAAAATTAAAATTATTTTCATCACTGAATTTATTTTTGAAATAAAAATTATTGAGAGCAGTTATATCAGTATTTATATTTTATTTACTTCAACTCTTTAATTATTTATATAAGAATAAGATAAATAGATTAATTATAATTAATTATTTACAGAGGAAATATACAGACCGGAAATATTTTCGGCCTATCGATGATATATATTTAATTATCTCTATTATTAATTTGAAAAAATTAATATATTTTGTATGATTGTTTTGAAACATTGTAGCTATTGAGATATATAAAATTATTAACAATATTAGGTATCATAAAAACAATAAACTTAAGATGATATTAAAATAACAAATTATTGTTACGATCGACGAATATTTATTAAAAAATTGGTTTTGTATTTTCATTTAATAATCGAAACAAGTGCAATTCGAACATCATTTTTTTTGAACCCTAATACCATTTATTCATTACCCTTTTTTTTCCCGAGTGCAATTCGACAAAAGTAAGTGCAATCCAACCTTAATGGATTTTTCCAACCCCCATTGAATGTTTTATTGAAAATTATTTTTATATTTCAAAACTCATAACTATATTTTTTTTTAATTATAATACACTTATTTATTTGTTGCTATGGAAATTATCATGGTAACTCTTCGAGGGATAAAGAAAAGGATAAGACTAGGTAATAATTAAAAAATAACTATATTTAAAAAAATCCGTTTAAAAATCCCACTTGTGTTAAAATCGATACAAACTATCGGGATCCTTAAAAAACACATTTCATATGTGGCGAGAGGTAAAATCGATATGTACCGAAATTATATGAAGTCCTAAATTGTACAGCTTAGAGTTGGTGAGTTGTTGGATAGAGCGCGGTAGCAAAATCCTAAATACGCTGCCGCATAATATTATGAATTATATAAAATATAATATACCCACCAAGTAATGTATGTGTTGTTTGTTCATAAGAGACCATCAAACTATATCAAATTATAACAAACACTGGTACATTTATTTCCAAACATAAATTATCACCGAAGTCGTAATAACTACAACTTTACTTTAATATTGAACGAATATAATATGAATTTATTATAATCATAATTCACAAAATTTTCAATTATTCGATTATTTGATAAATTGATTAAATTAAAAAGTAATTAATTATTTTTCAATAAATCGATTTTTTCGATTTATTGTGTATAAAAATAATACTGATTACATAAAAATAAATCAAACAGCCTTGTATTAACTTACCTATGTAGCTGTCTTTACTTCGTAAGTAGGTTAAGTAGAATAAACAGAAGTTATCGTTAGTTTATTTTTTTTTTTTTTTTTAATCACCTGTTGTCTTTTATAGTTGTTTGAAGAAATTCTAAAATTGAGTTTAAAATGTCTAATGAAATACTCGACAGCAAACCAAAATCTCTGGTCCTAAAACACCAACGTATGATCAGAGTGGAACTATATACAATTTTGAAATGAACGGCAAAATATAATATAAACGCGAAACGAAAGAAAAAATGTCGTGAGCACTTGTTGGCAAGTAATAAATTATTATGGCGTCGTAGCATAAGATACAAAAATCAATACCTACCTGCGAGTCATCATCCAGGGTTTCCAGGGTTATGGAGAAGACGAACAGTGTGACCAATGATGGCCGTATTCATCACGCATTCTTATATTTGAACGTCAATCTACAGGTAGATTGGTTGGCACATTCACCGCCGTCAGGTTAAGCGCTATTGATTAGGGGTAATAATAAACTTGTTTTGTTGTTTACCTATGGAAAATATTTTTTTGTATTAAAAACAATAAAGAAAAAAATATTTATTATTAATCGGAATAAAACTATTCTTGAAA